AAGCACTGAAAGCATGTGTATGTGGAGAGCAAAGGGCTCCGTAAACGTTAGTTTTATTTTTGTTTGATAAATGGGAGCAGAACTGTCCTGGAAGAGGTTTCTACCTCCTGTAGTAAGAGCAAATTGCATGACTTCTCTTTCCTTTTCTTCCCTCCATTCCTCAAATTTTAATAGTTCTGACCTGTAGGTCATATGTGAGTCATCAGTAATAGGAACATGAATAGGGGGACAGTCCTGGCCTCAAGGAGTGTCTTCTTGCCGAGGCACTTGACACATTACTAGAGCACAACGTGGTGAGTGCTCTAAGAGACCATGGTTTAGGAACTCAAAGGAGGGAATCATCCTGGTCCTCAGATTTGAAGGAGAGAGGACAAAGCAAGAGTTAGGCAAAGCTTCAGAGAAGCAGGGACATTTCATTAGAACACTAAGGGAAGATGACAGATACATGGGGAAGGGTGGGCTCTTATAGTTAGAAGACAGTGTGAGCAGAGACGTACAAGTGCAAAGGCTTGGAAACAGTGGCTGGTTAGGAACGTGCTTGAGCGAGCCTTGCAGTGGCTGGCAGAGCAGGCTTGCATGCTTATCTGCTGTGGTGGGGATCCTTCAACTTTTAAGTCCCGGGACTTAAAATTCCATTCCTAGGCTCCTTTGCTCTTTGCCTGCTTTCCATTCCCTATTAGCCCTTTCCTGCTCTCCTCCTTGCACTTTCTCCCCCCTGACAGGATGAGGATAGTTTCCCAAGTTCCGTATTTTCTTCTTATCCAGGAAGACAAGTCCATAAGCCCTTTTTGTCTAAAGGATTTTACTGCTAATCTCTCTGAGGAAACAGGGTAACTAAAATAGTAAGCCTGAGGAAGCTATAAGAGTCCCAGACTTCAAAGTTCTTGAAGTCAGTCTCACACCTTTTCTCTCACAGGAACTGGAAGCATGTTTACGTCCTGTCCTCAGTGGGATTCCTGTCGGTGGGGCTCACCACATCCCCTGTTCTCCTAACCCTGCACTTAAAGGGCCATCTGACTCCTACTTTTGTGGCGGTCCTTCTTTCCAGTATGGGGAACACAGTGGGACAGAACAGTCATTGATAAGTGCCAGTGTCATGAGACAATTTCTAGCTTTTAGGATCTCTCATTATACAGGTCCCTTTTCCCTTTAAAATTTTCACTCACTAAATATTATCTTCAATGTGAGTAAATAATGATGTAAAAACTATTTCATGCTAATTTTTATTAAAGAATGCAGATTGCATATACAGAATAATGACTAGTAAGTATAAATAAATAGGCACAGCAACAGAATAAAAATGGAAGCAGATTTGTTTTAGCAGTTGCACATTGGGAAGTGCTTTTTTCCCTAAATTTCCCAGGGAGAAAAAAGATAGTATCTTATCTTTCCATTATAAGAGATAATGGAAAGACAAGATACTATTTATGTATTTATTCAGTTAAAGAAATCCTGAGGTTTTCTGTTTTAGGTAAACACTATGATTGGAAAGAGCAGATTGCTATAACTGTTTCATTTTGCTCAGGATATTTACAGAAATTCCTTCCTAGGTAATGCTTTTAGCATTTCCTTGAAGGAACTATAAAAGCTTTAAAAGTTAAGTCTGAAATGACCTGATCAGTTCTCTATTTTAGAAAAATAACTTAAATTGTGGGCTGGCCTGTCCTGAGTCTGGAGGCAGGAGACCAAACAAGGACCCTTTCTAGGAGTCTGAGCAAGAAGACTGGTGCCCTTGAGTAGTGATGATGAATTGGAGAAGAGGGAGCAGATATGGGAAACAGGCACTTCTAAGTAAATATGTCCAAAATTAAACTGCCTTTTTTTTTAAACAACAACAACAACAACAATTAGACTTCCCCCTCCTACACAGCAAATTCACTTCTCCTGCCCTATTTCATGTGTCAGTAAATGGTACCACCTTCCACCCTATGTTCAAGACCAAAACTTTGACTTCTCCATCTGCTCATCCCCACATCCAGCCCATCACCAAGTCCTGCTAGTTCTTTTCCCTAAATGTCTCTTAAATCTATTTATCTCTGTTCCTTTGTTTAAACCACCACTCTCTCCTGCCTGAATTTTTAAAGGAGTTTCCAAACTGCCTTCCTTTGCTTTCATTCTTGCTCTCTACCAGGCCATTCTACCAGAGTGACTTTCCAAAATGAAAATCTGAGCCTATTACTTCTCTACCTCACTGGCTTCTTGGTGCTTTTAGGAAACGGTCCAAACTCTTTTGAGTGGTTTGTAAGACTTTGCCAGAGCTGGATTCTGCCTCCTGTTCTAGCCTTGTTTCTTACCAGCTACAGCAACTCTTCTCGTGGAATGCCCTTTTCATAATCTTCATAGCACTGGCTGCTTGTCATTCAGATCTTAGCCTAAAAGTTAGCAAAGGCAGGGTCTTCACTTCTAAATCATTAAATCACCACCTAGTTAGTATCACCTCTCCCAATCTTAATTGTCTGTAGAGAACTTACCACTTTTTGATAATTTTCTTATTTATTTAGTTAGCTAGTTATCTAATTATATCTTGCTACCTTTCTACCTACTTTTAAAATTTACCTGTCAATCTGTCTCCACACTTCTGGAATAGAAGCTCCATAAGAGCAGAAACCTTATCTTTTTGTTCACTCTTACCCCAGCTGACACATGCATGCCAGCATTCAAAAAATATTTGACTGGCTGGGCCTGGCTCAGTGGTTGAGCATCGACCTAGGATCCAGGAGATCGGGGTTCGATTCCCGGTCAGGGCACATGCCTGGGTTGCGGGCTCGATCCCCAGTCAGGGGCTTGCAGGAGGCAGCCGATCAGTGACTCTCTCATCATTGATGTTTCTCTCTCTCTCCCCCTCTCCCTTCCTCTCTCTGAAATCAATAAAGATGTATTTAAAGAAAAAAAAAGTATAGTATTTGGAAAAAAAAAAAATTTATGTTGAATGAATAAGTAATTGGTCTCCTGATACTAGTCTCTCCACTTGTCAGTATATTTTGCATGTTACTGTCATACTGATCTTCTTTAAACATTGATTTCATTGTGTCTCTCCCTGATTCAAAGATGCACAACATATTTTAATTGCCTGCTACTGTCTGTGCATGCTTCATACCTCTGTCTTATTTATTAAGTAGTTGGTAATTATTCCAGTGCCCTTAATCTCTCTTGTGTCTATCATCTTGTGGCATAATTAATAGACCAAAGAGAAGAAAGAGATTTTAAAGCTATTGGAACTTACATCACATAAGTTTACAGTTGCTTATTTACCCTGGTGGCTTTTCCTTTGGGCTCCAGGGATATAAGTCTTGCCTCCCCTTGAGAATTTTGAGGGACACATTCTCATATGCCCTTTGAAAATTTGTGTTGGAGGAACTGTCACAGTGTTAGGACAAGATGATGCTCAATAAATACCCACTCAGTCTTTGGTGCTTGTATATTGCCTCTCTTCACCAGATATGTAGTAGAAATACCAGTAGTAATACCTGCTTCCCTTCACTGGGTTTCTGTTCTTGCTACCATACTTTTCCCTTATCTGCTTAATTATTTTTATAGGATGAATTCCTAGAAGTGGAGAAAGAGATTATTCAAGGCCTGGGTAACCTAAACCAATTACAAATCGAAAGAAATATAATCCATAACGTTGGGACTAAAAGGAGCCTCAGAAAGAGACAGACCTGTATTTGAATACCGGCTCCGCGATGATTAGCTGTGTAGCCATGAGCATATTGCTTAACTTTTCTGAGCTTTGGTTTCTTGATGTGTGAGGTTGGAGTGATCATAATACCTACCTCATGGAACTGTTATGATGATTAAATGAAATAACGTGAAAATGCTTAACACAGAGCTTGGCACAGTATAAGAAATCATTGTGCTACTTATTATCCACTCCTGTTCTTCCCACACAGATCACTTGTTAAAATATTTATATCTCATTAGTGGAATATTCCTCCTCTAAGTGAAAACTATTACTTATTTATTTATTTATTAGCTTTTTAAATTAAATTGATTGGGGTGACATTAACAAGATTATTTAGGTTTCAAGTGTACATTTCTATGGTACATCATCTGTATATTGCATTGTGTGTCCACTACCCAAAGTCAAATCTTCCTTCACCATATATTTGACCGCCTTTACCCTTAAAATGGGGAAATAGCGTGGGAGTGGGTTCCATTTTTGACAGTCTGTTTTCTACAAAAGGACAGCAACTCAGCATTAGTAAGTGGTAAGGAGATGAGGGTGTTTGTAGGAAGAACACATATAGTTGAGACTTAGTAATAAACCCTGGTTACAGTTTTAGGTTTCCAAGGTTTTAAAGAATTAGAAAGTGGGATAAAAGGATAAGTGAGTATTTGAGTAAAACAGAAGTACAGTATTACCTCTTCCTGCACCTGAAAACCGTACTTCTGAAGAACTGATTAGAAGAAATCATTGTTTTTACACTAACTTGATCACCTTTGATTCCATTCTTCAAATCCGAAATAGTCAACACTCTGCTGCAATGTTGCCGCTTCAGTGGAAAACTATAGAAAAGAAAAAAAAAAAATGTAGAAGGCTAAAATTACTTATGTATTTTTTAAATGAGAAGAGTTTAGAAATAGTTTATTTAGAAGTAAATTTTAAAAACCCTATGTCATAGAAGTTGTGCTGTGTATGTTTGCCCGTTTGATTTTCATTAACAATAGCTAAAACAGTACAACTTTGAGGAAATAGGTTTTGGTAGAAAAAATTCTTGTGGTTTGTTTTACCTCCAGACAAAAATTTCTTCTTCTTTTTTTTTTTTTAAGTGAAATAAGCCAGTCAGAGAAAGACAAGTACCATATGATATCACTCATATGTGGAATCTAATGAACAAAATGAACTAACAAGCAAAATAGAGACAGACTCAGAGAGAGCAGGCTAACAACCGTTGGGGTGAGGGGGCAGTGTGGCTGCTTGAGGGGTTGGTGGAGAGATTGAGGAGGGGAAAACAAAGAAAAAAAATTATTTTTGTTTAATGCTTTCTGTATAATTACAGGGAGTAGGAAAAAACAAGATTGTTGACAGATTTCTTCACCTGCTCAATAGACCCCGAGAATATATCCAACTGCACAGGTAAGAGGAAAAGATCCATACCTCTTAAAGATCTGGTTTAATCATTTAGTTTTACCTCAGTACAACTTAAAAATACTTTTTTAAAGTTCCATTTTATAAACCAGTTTCATTTCTGTTCCTCCTGCTCTTATCTCTCCTCTCCTTAAAAGGTAATAAAACCATGCAAAATTTATTTTTAAAGTGACTAATGCTTTGTAAACATGAATTAATAGATATTTTGTGGACAGAGAGTGATGAACATTATATTCTAGGAACAGATTTCATCAACATAAAGGCTCTTAAATTGGAAGAAAAATATGTACTCTAACAGGAAGCAAAATAGCCCACAAGGGAAACAATAAACTGTGAATCCCAGGTATGAGATAAGGAACTCAAAAATATGGAAGAAGTAAGTTAGCTTCTTTGCTTTCCTTGAAAACACTTTGTGGGTTATCTAAATTTGTGTGGTCATAATTCTGGTTTAGGGATAGTTTTTAATCAAATAGATTTGTAGACATGAATTGATTTTAGATTTATCACTGAACCTATTCCGACTCTTTCAAAAATAAAATATAAGCAAGTCAAGAGAGGGAGGTGGGGAGGGAGGGAAAGAAAATGAGGGGAGAAGGGAGGGAGGAGGTGAGAGAGAAAGAAATTAAGGAACATACCAAGTAATACACAACTTAAAACTAGATTAAATTGTTACTGTTTTAAGCCCAGGAGATAAACATTTTTGTGTAGTGGAAAGAACATTGGATTGAATTACAAGAATTGTTTTCTTGTTTGGGTTCTTTCACAAATAATTATGTGTTTTTGAAAGAAAATTGTAGGAGAAAAGAAGGCAGAGTTAGTGGGCCAAAAGAGAAGAGAACCAAAGTAAAGTTGAAGGATGGTCAAAACCTCCCTTTGGGGATTTATACCTCTGTCTGCGAAGGAGTAACAGGTACCAGATTAGTCCTACCACAGTAAAGATTCACAAACACTGGGAAAAGAACAACTCCCAAGGATAGCTATGAGCTAAACAACCACCATAACTCCCACACTGTTAGGCGCCTCCATTAAACACTCCTGGTATTCAGAATAAAAGCTACTCGACACCCACCCTTACAGAGTTTAAAAATAAGCCTTGAATAAACAAGGATTCTTTCTTTTCTTTATATTTTATTTTTTAAATAATTTTTTTACTTTATTGTTGAGACCATTACAGATGTCCCCCTTTTAATCCACTGATCCCCTCCACCCCACATCCATACCACCCCCAGGCCCTCCCCACACCAATGTCCGTGTCCATGGGCCATGCCCATAAACATACAAGTTCCCTGATTAATCTCTCCTCACCCACACCCCCCTCCCCACCTTCCCTCTGAGATCCCCTCAGTTTGTTCCAAGCTTCTATGTCTCTGGATCCACTTTGTTCATCAGTTTATTTTGTTTATTATATTCCACATATAAGTGAGATCATTTGGTACTTGTCTTTCCCTGACGGGCTTATTTCACTTAGCATAATACTTTCTAGTTCCCTCCATGCTGTGCCAAAGGCTAAAAGGTCCTTCCTCTTTACAGCTGCATAGTATTCCATGGTGTAAATGGGCCACAGCTTTTTTATCCACTCATCTACTGATGGGCACTTGGGCTCTTTCCAGATCTTAGCTATTGTAAATTGTGCTACTATGAACATAGGGGTGCATAAGTTCTTTTCAATTGGTGTTTGGGGTTCCTTAGGATATATTCCTAACGTTATTTAGAAGTTTTTCTCATATGAAATGACTTTTGTATGAGTTTTTCTCATACAAGATTAACTGCTTAGCTGAACAAACTTAACCTTGAATGAAGGAAGACTATAAAATCCAAACGTTCAACAACATAGTATTCATAATGTTAAGCATTCAATAGAAAATTACTAGATGTACAAAGAAGTGAGAAAATTGGTTAATAGAAATAGACCCTAAAAATGATAGCTAATGGAATTATCAGATGAAGACTATAATATATTGCCATGAATATGTTTAAGTATTTAGACTTTGAATTTCTTCAACCTGATAGGTGGCATCTATGAAAAACCTACTACTAACTTATATTTAATGGTGAAAAACTAGATGCTTTCCTCCTATGATTCTGGAAAAGACAAGGATAAGCAGAATTATACTGGAGGTCCTCGCCAGTGCAGTAAGGCAAGAAAAAGTAATAAATGGCATACATGCTGAAGGGCAAGAAGTAAAACTGTCTCTTTTTAGAGATGACATGATTGTGTGTATAGAAAATCCTAAGAAATCTACACACACACACAAAGCATAGAACTAATATGTGAGTTGAACAGAGTCACAGGATACAAGGTCAATATAAAAGATCAAATGGACAGTAGGGAAATAAAATTGTAAACATACTATTTACAATAGCATAAAAACATGAAATACTTAGGAATAAATTTATAAGCATATGTACAAATTTTAAATTGCTAGGGGAGGACAGAGTAATCTCAACTTTTAAACTTCTGTAAGTCACCTATATAGTTCTAGAAGATTTCTAGCCTATTTCCATTTCTTTTCATGGTTCTTTTTTGTATTAATGATGCCTTATATAAACCTCGGAGTTGCAACTCAGCTTAAAAAGAAAAAAAGAATTTATTATATCAAAATTACAGGGTTAGATGTTATAGGAGATATAGAAAGAAATAAAAAACATAATCTCTATACTTAAGGAGCTGTAATACTGTTCTTGTTTGTAATTATTTCAATTTTTCATGTTCACTGAATCTGGAAAATTTCATTTTTTCCCCTTACCTTTTAAGCATTTCCACCAGTTTTTCTTTCTACATGGAAAAAATTTGGGAAAAATAATGAAAGAATCAAAGTATTTAACTAGTTTGTCTGAATAACTTTTTATAACATATCACAGTTTCAGTTTTTGAGCCATGGCAAGACCCATCTGCTTTAAGGATGATACAGTGAGCTTTGCAGTTGTTCATTCTTAGGAGAATTTGTGCTGTTTAATTTTATTTACATTGTATTTAGTTTTTACTGTTTAACAGTGTCCTTAAAAAGATGTAATTGTTTGAAAGTTTTAATGAATGTATATACTGCTGCCACTTAAGCATATGATATCAATTTAGAGCAAAACCAAATTAATTTAAATTTTATATTTTAAAATAGTAAAGTAGAAAACCAATGTTTTTTAAGAATGACTTCAGAACTTGAAATCAGCTCTTAAATTTGTGCCCCAGAAAGAAGTCACCTTTATATGAGAGTCTCTTTTATAGTGGGATAGTTTTTTCCTTTTCTTTATATTGGACAACAAAATATTTTTAAAGAAAGATATATTAGGCTCAACTACTATAGTCAGTGCTGATTGTAGATTATGGAGGTTACTTAATCAGAAAAAAAAGAGGCAAAGAAATATAACTGGTTTTTAATAATTATTCCTGGGTGTAGGTCACACTCATTGTAAACAGGTCTTTTACTTATGATTCATTATCTTTAATAGTTATGAGAAGTTTTGGTGCATCTTATTTTTCTAGGAATTATTCCTTCTAATTATTAGTATAAAGTAATTTATACTAATTACTTTGTTTACAATATCATCTTGTGATATTTTAGTGGTATTTTTATTTTTATTCTTGGTATTGATTATTTGTCTTCTCTCTTTTTTTCATGATCAGTTTTGCCAGGGGCATTATCAGTACTATTGGTGTGTTCAAGCAACCAATTTTTGTCATTGTTGAATCTCTCTTTTGTATTTTTCTTTTGTATTTCAAGAATTTCTGATTTTATCTCTATTATACCCTTCCTGTTGTTGGTGTTTTTTTTTTTTGTATTTAATGTGCTTTTCTTTATTAAGCTTTTAAATATGCATGCTTAAATTATTGATTTTCAACCTTCAATCTATATATGTTTGAGGCTTCTATCTTTGAATCTCTCTTTGGGGCTCAGTGTTTTCATGTATCTCCCTTTGGGTCTTAGTGTTTTCATCTCTTAAGTAAGAGGAATAGACAAGGACATTTCTAATATCTCTTTTAGCTCTATATTCTAGTATCTTTGAATAAACAAGAAGAAGAAGGAATTAAAGATACTTTAAAAAGTTTAGATTAGAGATGCCTACTTCCTACCTAGAATGTCTTTTAAACCAACCTTTTGTTGTGAAATAACAAATGGTAAAGAATCACATTCTGCTTATTTATATTTGCAGTAATTCTGACATTGGCTACATAAATATATAGATATGCTATCTATAAAAAAGCTTTCTAAATTCAAAATATAATAAAAATTTTAAATCATATATTTTTGTTTTTGTTTTTGCATAGATTGCTATATTATTGATTGATGGTAGTATTACAAAAAATCTGTTCCCTTTAACAGAAACCCTAGGTATCTCTGTTTGGCTATATTTGCTATTTATTATGTAAAGTTGGAAGTAAAAGGCTCCACTTTTGTTTAAATTATGTCATATTAAAGAATTTTTCATTACTTAAACTGACATTCCCATTAATTTCAGTGTGGTGAGTTTTTGCCATTAAGGCTGTATTTGCCATAAAATTTGAGCTTTTAAAATTAAGAGAAAGATATTTTTTTAAGACAAAAATAGCAGTTGAAAAAAATGTTTAGACTTCTCTGACGTATGCGTGACCTACTTAAGGTCTTTATTTTGTTTATTTTAGATTCCTTTTAATGGATTTGTGATGTTGCCATCTAAATAATCAGTCACACTCAATTTAGTTAATCAATGTCATTCCAACAAAATTAGTTATGAGCCATTCAAAACATAAGTAAAACCATCATCAAACATACATAAATGGCCATCTTATATTATAATGATCAGATCTCATAAAATAAGTAAACTGGGCAATTCGTGTCCGTTAAAATCAAGATGTTGTCCTAAGAGTATGATTTAGGTAATTTAAAAGTTTAATGGATAAAATTACTTGTGATGTGTTATATATTTCAAACAGAAGAGACTACATGGCTCACATTTTATGAAGTGCATCTGTTTACTTATTTTTCCACAATTTTATGTTAATTTGACATTAA